ACACACACACACACACACACACACACACACACACACACACTCACTATAACACAGACACACACACACACACACACACACACACACACTCACTATAACACAAACACACACAGACACTTTTACACACACTCTGAGCTGTAAATATCATCAGATTAAAGTCGTGTCTCCGCTCTGTAATGACTAATAATGTTCAGTTTGAACATAAAGTCCTTTATTAGTTAATTCAACTAATTATTTCTTTATTTGAAGAACTCAAAAGTCTCTCTTTGATCTTTTTGAATTTCTTCAAGTTCAAAAACGTTATTCTTCTCTGATGTTTTAACGTGTTTGAAGTAAAAATACTGCAGAAATCCTCTCTGTCGTATACATACATATATATATATATATATATATACTATTTATATACATATATATAAATAGTATACTTATCTAGCCGATGATAGTATATATCATTTGTAATATGTTATGCTATTTACTTGTACTTTAGTCGGATTTACATTGATGTATTAGTACTTTTACTTCAGTAGAGGACTTGAATACTTCTGTGCACGCACGCACACGCACGCGGACGTCACCTTGCTCGTGCAGTCTGTTGAGGAGTCCCGCAGCTCTGATCAGGTCCGGTCCTCTCTCCACTCCTCCGCGAGGCTGCAGCACAACAACAACAACAATAACAATAACTCCAGCTCTGTAAATGTCCCCACTGCGGGACTAATAAAGGATTCTCTTATCTTATCTCTCACACGCACGCGCCGCCCCGTGTCCTCGTGCACACTCACCTGTCCCCTGGAGAAAGGTGCTCCGATGATCCCGGCTGACCGCCCGTGATGATGACGATGATGAAGATGAAGATGATGGTGGACATGATTAAGACTCTGCAGCGTCCTCGCGCTCCTCATGCTGACCGACAACTGACGACCGACCGACCGACCGACCGGAGCCTCCTTAAAAAAAAAAAACCTCCCCACGTGACGTCACCGCCCCGGGACACACGAAGATGGACGAGGTGTGTGACGTTACGAGTTAATTACTAAAGTCTTTAAAGTCTTTAATGTTTTAATTAATCTGTAATGAATTCATTAAAACACCACCGAAGAAGAGTTGATGTGGAGATGTTTTAATTATAGTGAGAATATTTAAAGCATTCAATTTAACTTTATTGTCAGTAAACAGTATTGTCTCTCAAAGACATACTCAGATACTTCAAATAAATACTGCAATACTCAATTCTACGTAACTATTACAAGTAAAATGTACACAAATCTGTTTTCAGTTTCTGGACTTTTCTTTAATATAAACACTGGCGGCTGGTCAATAGAGGGCGCTAGCCTTGAGCCACAACAGATAAAATACAACAAATAATGATAAACTATACAAATTGTTCATATTTGTGTTTTTGAAATATGGAATCACCCAGTAATATGTGTAAAATATGATATCTGCGATATATATATATATATATATGTATTTATATATATATATGTATTTATATATATATATATATATATGTATTTAT